ATAATAAAAGAGAAAGAATGGTATTTGAGTAAAGGCAGCATCATGACAGATATTTCCCTCTATGTAGTTCATCCTGCATGTCAAGGATAATACCCTTTCAGACCGGCAACACAACATCAAACATCTGGGATCCCTGAGACACTGCATTGCTAATGCAGTGAAAATGCTTTTTCCTACTTGACTGGGTACCATGTTGTTGACCTGAAATTCTTCTGTGTGCTCTGTAAACTATAAATCATGATCCAGTGAGGAATTATTAAGTCAAATCAATCAGTTGTGACCATCACTCAGCACAGAGCAAATCACACAGAGTGGAAAATAATTAAGTATACTATATATAAACAAAGTATTATTTAGTGACAAAGTCCTTTTGTCTTTATGCATGTTTCTATTTACAGGGCCATGAGAAAGAAAGAATGCCCTTAATTCTTTGGGTCAAAATACTTAGAAGTTTTTCAAATAGCAATGCAAACATTGTACATTAGGAATACTCGAAATTCCAGAGGAGTCTCTGCTATCCATAGTCTTCAGATATCACAATACATTTAGCTGTTTTCACTGGTTCCCACTGGATGATGAGTTTCCTGCTGGCAGGGAACATGATTTTCTGTTGAGTCCTTTGGAGCAGAACACATAATCAAGGGATGTTTCATGACTACATGAGTCAAGTTCAGCCTCAGTGTAGCAATATCTTGCTTGTACAAATAAAGCCTATCTGAAAGTCAGAGAATGGAGCTTGCCACTAGCTAACCATAGAGGTCTGGAGGTCTGTACAGACAGACAGGAAGTGAGGCAGCTGGGTGGAAACAGGATATAAGCAGGGAGAAACACTCTCTTGTCTAATGAGATGCTAAGGAGATAAGGTGTGGTGGTGGCTTGCTCCTTCTCTCTGATCTCACAGTGTTTTCCTCTGTATCTGACTCCAGGTTTTTATTACTTAGACCAATTAAGAACTCTATTTACACCAGAGCACCCATTCTTAAACCTAAATTCATAACGAAGAGGTTATTTGCCAGGAGTCTCAACATCCTTTATTAACAAATGAATATAGGCCAAATTTTTCTTTAAGGTGACCTTTCATTCCCAAGCAATGGATGGATGTATCTGCTTTTCTGTCTGACCTCCTGCTTTCTCCCAGTCACCAGGCTGCTTTTATCCATTTAATCAGAAGGCAAGTTTGTTCTCTAGACATCTATGCCTCTATGGGAATTTAAAACCCCATGTCTCTGAGCTTAGTCCTCTTAGCAGCAGGAAAAGACACTTTTTTTTTTTTTTTTTTTTTGTAAACCAGCTTTGTACTGGTTGTACTGATGGGCAGGAGGGGAGAACATGTATGAGCAGATGATTCATACCCACTCCACTTAGGCACCTGCTTGCTTCTTTTGCCTATATAGAAAGCCTTGATGACAAGCAAGAAATCTTACAGTAGCTCTGGGGATTAAATGCACCTACTCAAGAACTGATAAAGTATTTGTCCAACACTCTCAAATTACTGTATTTGTATTGTTAACACTTCAATTTATTTTCAACTAGAGTTAGAATCCAGGCTTTCTTACAGGCTACATAAGAACTGTACTGTTGAACTATGTTTGCAGCCAACTTTACTTGTTAAGAGTCTACGGCTACAGGTTTTCACAATGCAGAAATATAAAGGGTAAACACATAGGAATCATTCCTGAATAACATGTATAGTGTTACGAGTTTAAATCAATTTCATTTGTACAATACTCCCACATCACTTTCAGTGTCTCACACAGAGAGTAAAAGAAGTAAAATAATTCCAATTATCTGAAAAATAGAAAAAGTGGAGCTAGTTTAAAGCTGTGCTTGTCTTAGGCAGGGTTGCTTACTTTCCCCCATTCAAGAGTTCAGGGAAACAAAGTGCTACCACTTAGGAGGATGAGAGACAGAGAGAGAGAGAGAGAGAGAGAGAGAGAGAGAGAGAGAGAGAGAGAGAGAGAGAACAAGCCTAAGGCAGAGTAAAAGTTCTGTGAACTAGGCAAATAATTTATACTAGATCAAAATTTTGTGAACTTGCTGATTTTGGTTTTTTTACTTCATGCAAATATGTGGATAAAAGCAGTGAAAATGAAAAAGAAATATATATCTTTTATAATCCCAAAGTGTTGTGCTTGAATTTTACTCCTCAGCTGACCAAGTTGCTCATCTAAGTATCCAGCACAGTACTAATAGGAGCAGACTGGCAAGGACAGCTAAAACACATTCAACAGCAGGAAACCATGAACTAAGATTGAGGAAGGTGGAATGAAGTGGGGAGAAATGTAGCACTAGTGGGACAGTTGACTGTTATAGCAGTTGGAGGTCCCAGGCCAATGTGTTTTCTTCTTGGTCTGCACAGCAGATCTGGGGACAGCTACATTTCCTTCTAGGCTTCAGAGTACATATGGGCAAGCAAGATGAGAAAAGTAATACTTCAAGACGTTATTTCCAGATTGGAGAGACAGGCTCATCACCTTATACTTATATAGTTGAGAAACCCTGCTACTCATTTATTTTGAGAGAGTGAGTAGTTGATGTTCTAAAATAATCACAGACAAATTTGGTACAGTTCCCGTTTGCATGCTCCAGATACAGCAAGTGTCTCTAGGCACCATTTTTGGTAAGGACTCTGTTTGGGCTTTGCTAGTCCATTTCACATCCTTACTTCCTTTGTTAGTCTATTTTACCACACTGTACATGAACAAGGCCAGGGGCTCTTACGAGCTGATGTCCTAGGCTCTTATTTTGTGTGTGGCCTTTCTTTCTTCTGCCACTGTCTCAGAATCATTTAGATGCTGAGGTCAGCTCTGTAGGTACTACATAACTACATAATGGGATTTCGGGAGACCACATGCCACATTTTACTATTAGAGAGCTTGCCTCTGGGAGATTTCATATAGAAAGTCAAGTGTGCTTGAGTCTCATTTAAAAATTCCCTTCTTTCAAAATTTTCTATCAGTTTAAGTTTCTAGTTTTCCCGCATTTGTTTGTTCCACTCAATTATTTAAAATTTCTCAGCATGAAGATTTGCTTCTAATCAATAATACTATCAAATACGTCTTTTGATTTTGTGTTATAACCCTTTGTTTAATTTCTACAATTTAAAAACTTTAAGCCATATGTTTTCATCATTTTTTTTCTGCTTCATTAATGATATTTGCATGTAGTTCATTTCAATAAGAACAACACTGATGATTTTTCATTGCAGTTTGAGTCTGTAGAGCCTTTCAGTTGACTGATTTGTCTGGGTACTGTTAGCCTAATTACTTTTTTTCCTATTTGATATGCTAAAGGAAGACATTTCAAGATAATTATCATGAAATCAAGTAATACAACACAAGTATGGAGAAGAGAAATAGATACAAATTGGTTTAATTTACATCCCATTTCAATGCCATTGTGAGATGTTTTCTAAGGTAGTTCTCCACATTTCCTTCCATGGACAACAAAGCACTTCAAAACAATCTAGAATGTAATTGGTTCATTAGGGAAGATTAACAGTCTGCTAGATTTCTATCATCTATCTCTGTCATCTACCATCTACCTGTCTATGTATGTGTATTTATCTCTCTATATGTCATCTATCTATCTATCTATCTATCTATCTATCTATCTTTTATCTATCTATCTTTCTATCTAATCTATTGTCTATCATGTGTTTTTAAGTCTCAAGAGGAATGAGGCATGGAAACTCCCCTAAAAAAGCTGGAATTCTATAATGGCTAGAGCATCTAGAAAGTTATTTCTCCCTGAATGTCTAACACACAGGAAAGTGAACTTTAAAGCCATTTAGAATTGAGACAAGTCCAACTCAAATGCATCTTTTAGTAGATGTGTCATGGAATTCTTGCTGGGAAAGAAAATGAATTTTTGGTGAGAAGGATGTGGCCTTAGCTGTCACTCAGCTCCTGGGCCAGAGCTGGCAGTGGACATCTAAAGAATGAGGACATGATTCCTCCAATCAAGCATTCATTCATTCTGACCATATTAGGGGCCAAGTCCACTCTCGACTGTTAGTATTATTTATTGAAAGCCCTGTGTTGAAAAATGGTTCAGTGGATAAAAGAGCTTATAGACTAGCTTAGAGACCATACTCTCCCTATAACTCACATGGTAGAAAGGTATGCACACCGTGTATGCACACACACAAACAGATGAAATTTAGATGTAATTCAGGAGCTGGTACAAGTAAGTAGAACATGTTATATTTGAGTGTCTATTATCTCACTCAGGAGGTTTCCACAGACATAAAATTCTGACAGGCATTTTGAATTCACTCATTCCATAGCCAAGGTTGGACTGGAACTTACTATATTTCCAGGCTGGTTTTAAACTTGTGGTGGACTCCTTGTTTCCATGTAAATTCTGAGATTACAGGTGTTGAGTCACCATACCCAGCTAACTAATGGATTTCAGTCAGGAAGGGAACAATAAATTGTTATGGTCTGAGAAACAATTGGTACTAAGATTCTGCTGAAGAAAATATTTCTGCAAAAACTTTCAGGAAAAACAAAACAAAACAAAAAAATGTGCATTACTCTTTGACAGAACAATTAATTTCTAATGCATAGAAGCTAGCACACTTAACATCTGGAGGGTCAGGAAGTCATAAAAATATTTTCAGACTGACTGCAAGCAAATGTTCAGAGCTTCAGTCTATGCAGAAATCTTTGCCATAAATGAAACCTATATTGCACTTTAATATTTTTAAATATTATAAAGGGATGACTTGAGAGCTGGGTGTAGTGGTGTATACTTGTGTTTGAAGCATGAAGAAAGTTCTAGCATTTGTCAACTTGAGAGAAAGAATTTTAAAAGATTAAACTAGGGGAAAGTGTTAGCCTAATAACACTGCAAAAATTACTTCAAAATGGTTAAAGGCAAGGCCCTTTGAGAAGTGCACTGACAAACACAGGCTAATTAGAACATAGGCGTGGCACTCATGTCCCTAAAGTAGTTCAGGATGAGTATATCTGAGTCGGGAATGTTCCAATGCCTACCTGACATACAGGGATCGTTTCTGATTGGTTCGAAGGGACCCGGACCCGGAGCTCATGCTGTGGTTCATCATCTGCTCTCGTAGGTCATGGATTTTGGCCTCAAATCGGGCGTAATCTGGGAATTGAGGAAAAAAATGGTAAGTACCTTCTGAAAATTAGACGTGCTGTGCAGACAAAGCTACTGCGCTCCACTGTTGTTCATTTTCCAGGTCCAGGCAGGTGTTCAACTTCAGAAGAGTACGTCTGTTTACTAGTGCTTTTTACTCACAAATGCACAGGGAGAAAAGGAGAGATTAGTTACTTTTCAAAAATTACCCAGAAAACAAAAGGCCATGGCACGCCCTGTTTTTGAGAAGTTCAAGGTTCCATACAACTCTTAACTTGATTTCCCCTGTTTCTCGAACCTGTAGCACATCATAACTAGGATGAATTGAACATAATCTATTAATCTTATTCAGTTTTTTCTCAGTCTCATTTCTCTCTCTCTCTCTCTCTCTCTCTCTCTCTCTCTCTCTGTGTGTGTGTGTGTGTTTGTGTATGTATGAGAGAGAGAGAGAGAGAGAGAGAGAGAGAGAGAGGAGGGGAGGGAGGGAGGGAGGGAGGGAGGGAGGGAGAGATAGAGAGGCTATAAGTACAGACTTGGTTTTCTGGAAATGCAGCAAGTCCTCTAAAGCACTGGACCATCTCTCCAGTTTTGTGTTTTAGATTCTTTGTAATTAAAATGTTCCATGAAGCTGACTTTAATTTCAGATCATGAAACATGTATTGATAATTGCAAGATGGCCTTACCCAAAAATCTGGCAACAGATAGCAGAATACTTACTCAGTTCAGAATGTGAAATACAAAAGTTTGTACTCTAAAGACTAAAAAAGCCCATAATAGTAGGTTAGTAATTTCCAGTGCTGAAATATAGCCTGGAATTATCAAGATTTGGCAGACTTCCTGTTAATAATTCAGCCTTAAATGGTTAAATAAGCCAAATATAGACTTAATCACAGTTATCTAAAATCTATTGGCTTTACTCTTAAAACACTGAATTTCATTCCAAGGGGAAACACTTGTAAGTATTGGTGTGATATTGTCTGTAAATTTGAACCATCTTGAACACGCTGTATTTCCCTGCTAGCTAGAAGGATCAACTAACATTTCCAGTGGCCCACACGGCACCTAGTACACATGGGGCTTTGAGGGTATCTCTTTCCTAGGTCATAAAATGAAGCCTATGGATATTATAAAAAAAAAAAAAAAGAAAGAAAGAAATCTCCACTATACACACACAGAAGGAAGATGGAAAAGCCTTCTTTCTCACAGATGTACTTCCCCAAATCTCATCAGTTGTATGCCGGGAATATTTGTATGTTTGTGAGCATATGATCACAAACACATGCACTGAATATATGTATGTATGTATGTATGTATGTATGTATGTATAGTGCTAAAATAGTTTTTTTCCTTTTTAAATAGTATAACATGGATGGCTAGCTACTTTCTACCAAGTCTATAAATATGAGTTTCCTTAATAACATTCTATATTTATACTTCTTATATTTATACTTTATTTAACAAGTCCCATGTATTTTGGTGTTAGGCTTCCTCAGCTTGCTATAATATAAATATGTGTCTTACTATATGTGTGCACACTTTGGAATAAGTCAACACAACAGCACAACTAAAAGTGCTTGTCAATATTTTGAGATAGAAACCATATATTCTTCACTAGCATTTGACTATGTTTTAAAAATAGGTCTTGTTGTATAGTTTAGGCTGCCATGGGACTCACTGTGCCTCAATCGTGTGCTCTTCCTGCCTCAGCCTTCTGTGGGTTAGGGTTATAGGCACATGTTTCCACTTTGTAAAGAAAGAAACTCACTGATCTGTTTTTGGACACAGAGTGGAAACTTGCAGCTTTCTCAGATCCGTGTTTTATGACTACTCTCTGAAGATTAAGTGCAATGCCTGCTTTCATCTCAGTCTCATGCAGACACAGGACTCTCTGCTTTACAGCCATGAGAAATGGAAGATTAAAATGAGAAACCCTACCAAGTGTTCTCCCCTAACATCTGACCGTTAACACCTCCTGCTGTCTGCCCAGTCATTGCCTCTATCACACCATCTTGCAATTATTTGTGTAGTTGCCCATTTCCATTAGGCTGATCCCCTAGGGAAGGGCCATGTCTCATTGTAGGGATTCCCTAATTTAAGCTGCAGAGTCTGATAGTCCAGAGGGAGTTAATAAGAGGTGCACAACACCTTTTCCGAATGACTGATCAATGAATGAGGAATGAGCTGAATCATTAGATAAATTTATTTATCAAATAGCCGCATGTAAAACAACTTGCCAATTTCCAACATTAGTTTGCAAGAGAAGGAAGGCAGCACACATCTATCTCCTTTTTCCAAAAGCAAACGTCCAAGTTTTAGACATTTTGCTGAATTACGACCACTTCCAACCCCTTTTGCTGTTTTTATTACTCTCTAGGCAATGTCTGTTCTCTTCACATTTGTCATGCCAGTCACTGGAAACAGTTCTGACACTTAACCTACACACAATTAAGAACACCAGTAGACTCTCTCAGAGGCTCTCAAAAGGATCAAGCTACTACTGCATGTATTATGACAGGATACTTCCCTTTGCATTGCTGTATGGCTGATTAGATACCCAATATTTTCTGCTGTGTTCTTATATGGTTTGCCCTCCTTAGTGTAGTATTGTTCAGCGTTCAATTTCACCATGGTTAGTGACTTACACTGCCTTTGCCTTATCTAGCATCCTGTTCTTGATTTAACATTTTGACATCCAATCACAGATCTTGTATTCAAAAACACTTGCCTTTTACCTATTGAAAGTGGAAACAAAGGCTCATATAATTTAGCTAATACATAAACAATAGGTTTAGAGATATAAGTGGGGTGAGGGTGAGGGAAGTTGCATGTTTACAACTTCATAGCAATAAACAAACCTTATGGTTAGGAATGCTTTAGAAATATTTGTAATAGCGAAAACCTGGAAGCAACCTAGATGCCCTTCAACTGAAGAATGAATAAAGAAGATGTAGTACATTTACATAATGGAGTACTACTCATAGGAAACAAAACAAAACAAAAACAAAAAACAAAGCAAAAAAAAAAAAAAAAAAAAAAAAAAAAAACCCAATGGAATCTTAAAATTCGCAGCCAAATGGATAGAACTAGAAGAAACCATCCTGAGTGAAGTAACCCAGTCACAAAAAGAGGAACATGGTATGTACTCACTCATATATGGATTTTAGAAACAGAGCAAAGGATCACCAGCCTATAATTCACACTGCCAGAAAAGCTAGGTTACAAGGAGGATCCTAGGAGAGTCATAGAAGGTCCCCCATAGAAGGGGAAAGGGACAAGACCTCCTGAGCATATTGGGAGCTGGATGTGGGCAGAGAGAGGAGAGGAAGTTAGGAGAAAGAGAAGGAGAGAAGATGAGGGGAAAGGAGAACACGAGGGATCAGGAAGATTGAGTAGATGAGAGCAAGAAAAGAGATACTATAATAGAGGGAGCCATTATAGGTTTGAAGAGAAAATAGACACTAGAGAAATGTTCAGAGACCTACAAGGATGATCCCAAATAACAATCTGAGCAATAGTGGAGAGGCTACCACACTTAAATTCCCTTCCCTGATAATGAGATTGATAACTAACTTATATGCCACCATAGAGCCCTTATCTAGTAGCTGATGGAAACAGAAGCAGACTCCCACAGCTAAACACTGAGCTGAACTGGAACCCAGTTGCAGAGAGAGGAAGGAGTGATGAGCAAAAGGGTCAAGGCCAGGCTACAGAAACCCACAGAGACAGCTGACCTGAACAAAGGGGAGCTAATGGATCCCAGACTGATAGATGGGAAACCAGCATTGGACCAACTCAGACCCCATGAACGTGGATCTCAGTTCGAAGGCCTGGGCAGTCTATGGGACTCTGCCAGTGGAACCAGGACGTATCCCTGGTGCATGAAAGGATTTTGGGAGGACATTCCCCATGGGGTGATACTCCCTTAACCTAGAGACAGGCAGGAGGGCCTAGGCCCTACTCCAAATGACTCTAGAGATTTTGATGATCCCTCCTAGAAGGCCTCACCCTCCCTGTGGAGTGGGTGGGGAATGGGATGGGAGGGGTGTTGGTGGGCATGGGAGGATGGGAGGGAGAGGGAACAGGGATTGATATATAAAATAAGAAATAATAATAATAATAATAATAATAATAATAAAAGAATAGAGGAGAAAAGAGATAACATAATAGAGAAGTAAAAAGAAATAAACATCTATGGAGACAGTGAGATAGCAATCTTTATGTATTGAAAAATACATTCAGCCAGCTAAAACACAAACAACTATTGTACCTACTCCTTATCAACCCATCTTCTTCCTTAAAAGCTTCCCTCCTGCCTCTGCCCTCCTGCTGTGGGGGATTTTTCAGCTAAACTGCTGGCAGTCTTTCTTGACTCATGAGGACATTTGACTGAGACTTTGAAAACATGCGAATCCTTACACCATCTAGCTTGGAGCAAGATAGAACCTGAATGGATTTGCTTCCAGAATGTGACATTACAAGGTTATTAAGCATGCCAATTCTAAGGTGGGGCACCACACTAAGAGAACAATCTACCCTGCACTGCCTGGCTTGCAAAAGGCAGTCAGTGACTCCTAAAATTATAAATTACTCCATACTTGTTGGGCCTTCTATTACTAGTAATAGAGCACTGAAAACTAACTCCAGAGCAGTGTTCATAGGAGTGTCAAGAAATACTGGCTTTAGTGAATTCTTTGCCTGGATACCTTTGTGGTTTCCCCCTCTACATTTAAAGATATCTAAACCCAACTGTGTGTGAAAGCAAAGGAGGGACTGTTCAGAGGAAGGAAGGGCATCAGCTGGAGAGAGTGGCACAAGCAAATGCCATGAACAAAGAACAAGGGTAACCATGAATGGAAGTGCCACAGTGAAACCCATTATTTTCTGTACCTGCTTTCAAAAAAAAAAAAAAAATTAAATGAGCAAACATGTGGAGTTCAAAATGGACTGGATAAAGCCATTAGCAGAGGCAGCAGCAATCAATGGTGCTCACTGGGATGGAAGGAGATTTG